GGACAAAGCTAAATGCTCAATGAAATAAATAAATTGCGCGGGGGATGGGTGGGGGGAGGAGGGGGGTAAAGGGGCATCCTTATTTGTTGTGATAAAAGAGATATTTGATACCCACACACCCTATAGGGTTAAAGGAAAAACATATGTTGTTAGTTTGAAAAAATGTTGAATAATCCATATATACTTTGTTTGTCTGTCTGTTTGTTTGTTTCCAATAAGCGTCAAAACGGCTGAACCGATTGGACCCAAATCTTTTGTGGTGGGACCTCGCGTGACCCAAGGGAAGGTTTGTGGACGGTCAAATTTCCAAAAATTTGCTTCTAGCAAAATTCAATTTTTGAAATTTTGAAAATCCGCGAAAATTTGTTTTTATAAAATCCAAGAATTTTTTTGTTTTTGTTTTGCAATGTATACAAAAAGAAAATATTTACAAATGAAATAGAAAATGACCACGAAGCGCCCTAACAGCCTAGTATATGATACATCTGAACAAAATATAGTATATTTTCTCCTCTTTGCTTTATTTTAGTAAACTTGAGAGAGTCTTAATTTTTGTAATTTCTAAATAATCAATATTTGATAAAACTCTTAATGTCAAGCATCAAAGTTTAAATTAACAAATATATATTTGAACACAATTTGACATTTTTTAAAAGAAGTTTTGAAGTTTGAAAGTAGCTCTTACAGCAGTGACTAGGGTTGCTTGGCTTTATTAAGCATTTATATAGATACAATAAACTTCAAAATACTCGTACATCATAGTGATCCACAGGGTTAAGCTCTCACGCATAAATCTTTGAGAATTCGCCAATTACTTCTAAAGAACTGAAGTTAAAAAATGTGCTTTATTTTTCTAAAAGTATTTGTCCAGTGCTACAAACACTCATCCAATCCCTTTATCTTTGCAACCTGGAGATATTAACCTAATTGATATTTCAAAATTTCGAATTCTGTTAGATTAAAATATCAAAGGTTTAAAGATCAAGTTGCTTTGATAACTTGGTACAGATTAGAAAACTTGACTTTGTAGCAAGTTATCAGTTCCTTTTAAAATACTAGGCTTTTAGGGGGCCTCGCGGCCATCCTCTATTTTAACTTTTTACTGTGGCACTTTCTGTGAGCACCTTCTATTTGTACAGTAAAAAACAATAAGAAAAAAGTTCGCGGATTTTCAAATATTTTTTCGCGTATTTTTAAAATTTCACAAAAATTAAATGCTTTGGATACAACTTTTTGTAATTCTGGGCATCATGCAAGGTCCCACAAAAAATTTGGGCCCGATCGGTTTGACGTTTATTGGATACAAAGAGAGAGACAAGCAAAGTATATTTTAATAACTATTTATAACACTGTTATTTTGATTCGCAGTGTTTTAAAGTTTTTGGACAGAAATTTTCTCTTTGTCGAGAAGGTTCAAGTCATTTTAGATTTAATTTTGTCCCAAACTTTAACGTTTGTTTAATTATTTCAATGGCCATCTCTATGATCAAATAAGCTTTGAAACATTTCAATTGAAAAAAAATATGTTGGAAATAATCTAAATTTTTGGGAGAAATCCGAGAGCCAATCAAAACTTTATAGCACACGTGCTATAATGTACTTCTAATTAACTTTATAGCACGATAATTACTTTATAGCACGTTCATTATGAAACTCACGATGAAGTGAGGAAGAATAAGCTTTAGTTCAATGACTTTACTGTAGTAATAACACCCAGGATAAATAAGCTAAGGAAATAAATCTATAAATTAATCAATTTAAAATTTATGGGCATGCAATCTAAAAAATAGACATTTGTTCTCTTATTTTATCCATTCGTGGATTACAATTGTATATTCGATTTTTACATTAACATTTATTATTCGTTACGAATCTTCCGTTAATCTTCAAAAACTAACGATCATCGTTAAAATAAAGTAGTATTTAAAACCTCTCCCAAAAATATCTTTACACAAAATCAGTTGAATGTATTGTACAGGGATACTCATAAAGGATGAGACTTTAGAGATACGTTTGTATGGAATTTATACTGTTTGTTTCCTTGTGTTAATGTTTCCTTGCAATTTTTAAAAAAAATTGTTTCGTTGCAAAATCATTAAAAGAATATATTCAAGAAAAAGTCTTTGTTAATTCTTAAAATTTATTTATTTAAAAAGTAACACTGTATTCTCAGACATGTTCTATAATCATCAACATTCTCTTTGATAAATTTGTCGCCACCTGTAATTTAGTTCAGAGAATTTATCTAAATTTTGAAATTTCTGTTATCTGGAATATTTATGCTATCGGGCATTTTCCTTTATAAAGTCAATTTTTGTCACGTGATACAGTCGGAAATCACGTGACCAGTATACTACACTGCCATAGACTGAAGTTCTAGTGACGTAATACGGACTGTATGTAATAATATTATCAATTATATCTATTATTAATGCAAAAAAAATGAGCAAACCTTAGATTCTCAGGCTCCTATGGGATATCGTCGTTTTCAGATTGGTTGCGTATTTGTTGAATATGATCTTTTTAAACCCACTACTTTTATACAAAATTGTATATATATGAATTTTCGTATAAATCTGACACAGTTTTACATCAATTTATTGAGACAGGAACATCAGATAGATGTCTTCTATGTATCGTTCAACACCTGAGATTCTCAGGTTTTAATCTATACCCCCTTTCATTTTTCCTTTACAGTCCCTTTAACTAACTTTAACTTCTATGTTTTCTTTTTTTAATATGATTTTTAACGGTTTTTTACTCAGACCTAAATGCCGAGATTGCCGTAACAATTTTTCTAACGTTATTTTAGTCAAATGTAATTTTTTTCACTCTTAAATTTTCATTTGCAATTATTTTGTATTATATCTGTTTTGTTTAATGTTCAATGTTCATATCAATTACGTCGTAAGATCGTCGTAAGATTATGAATATCAAAAAGTTAATTTCTTTAATTTACATTTACAAATATTTGGTATTATCTAGTTTGTTTAGTTATGTTGTATATTAAATTAATGCTATGTTCTAATGTTTAAATAAACATTGTTAAGAAGTGACAATTTTCCTTTTTGCAGAAAATACTGTGAGTAGTGACTTTTCCATTCATGGATTAAAAATATAAAAATTTCAACCTCCTACCTTGCTTCATTTTTTAATAACAAAAAAGAAGTTTATAGTGTCTACACTTGAATTCTAGAAACATTCTTCTTCTAAGGAAAAGTTTAAAATATGTTTCAGTTATAATTATTTACAACAATTTTAAAGGGATGTTTAAGGAATTTTACTTTACCAAGGGGTCCTAAGACCAATTTTACCTACAAAACATCCAGAACGCAGTGAGAAACATTTTGTAGGCAAAATTGGTTGAGGGAACCCTTCATTAAATAAAAAATAAGTTGTATAACTTTTTTTCGATTATGGAGATGCAATTGTTCAAGATTACTTACTTTTAACATCTTACAGAACACATATTTTTTTCACAAAACATGTCTTTTATGCTAATGAGTGTGAGAACGTCAAAATTAACAACTTTCACCGGAAAAAAGTTCGACATTACAGATAAGCCAATCAAAATAGAAGAATCCCCCAAAATTTGAGAATATTTAAATTTGCCACTTTTCTCGTCAAACAAAACGCAACGCCCCCCCCCCCTTCCATGACACAACCTGCATATTAAAAAATAACCCTAATATTGTGTGTTTTATTAAGCAATAGAAAACAAATATTCTGTTGATAATTTTGAACAAAATGTTTGTTATTTTAAATTGTTTTAGGCACTTTTGTAATAGTGTTTTCCGATACAAATCTCAGTGTCTTTTTTACAGTGTGAACAGTTTTAAAAAGAATTTCCATTTTACAAACTCGCAGTGGCCTGTGGTGGCACAATACTTTGATACAACTTTATATTCGATGTAAAGGTATTTGAATTCTACACTCTACAGTATAGAATTTAAAGTGTATTGTACTCAGTGAAATGAGTTGAAATGAGTTGAAATGAGTCCCATCATACAAATTAAACAATTTATTCCTAATGATCTGGCAAAACTATACCTAGAATAGAATCCAAGGACCTGTTTTAATGAAAATGAGTAGTAGTTGAACTATTTAGATCGAATTGAACCACTTTTCTTAAGCTTGACCCAGTGCGCGCACCACTGAACTGGTTGAACCAGTGGTATATGCATAGAGAATAGAATATATAGAGAGGAATTAAAAGAATCTCTCGGTATGAATTTTTTCAGTCCCTTTCAGTTTTTACACCATGTTTTAACACATCAGCTCTATTTTACACCATGTTCTAACACATCAGCTCTTCGCTTGAATTTAAAACAATCTGTGCTTGGGTTAAACTAAAGGACTTTGGGTTCAAGAGTGGCATGTCAGATTCAATACGATACCCCTTTAAACCTTTTATCTGAGTAACCATCAGAAAGATATTTGAATTTTATTTGAATATTTGTAAAACTGGAAAACTGGAAAACTGTGACAAGTTCATTCATTTCAAACAAAGGTTTAAAGGGCACCCTTGTGCATTGTACATGCTTCACTGTAATAACTGACCATCTAGAATACGTCTGAAGTCTCTTTAAAGTATTATTTATGTTGGTTTTGCTGTGTTGAATTATTGTTTGGCATTTAGGATGAAAGCATCCTAATATGTAAATTAATTGGTTGATTAAAAGTTTAATTTTAATATTTAGATATTGGCGTAGATGCTCAGATTGGAAACTGTGTTTAAAATGGGTAAAGTTTTCTAAAGGATGGAGTTAAACCTGAGAGAGTTGTAAAATTTTCAAATTGAAAACTTTAGCGATGGAAATTTTTAATGCTCGGCAGGTAATTAAAATTGAAAAAATGTCTTTTTCCCATTCTCATCTTTATGTATTATCCGAAAAAAAGATTAGTGTAACAAATAAACTAATTAGTAATTAGTAATTTTGAACATATATCTATTTTTTTACAAGTTCATAATTTTGAATCAATATTGAAAAATCTTCAGATTAATTTGATAATTTTATTAGATTTATTTTAACTGCTCATCAAATTTATTCTTCCAAATTATGTTTTCCGATCAGATTCCCTTCATTTTTTGTTTTTCATTTTCGTCCTTTCGCTTTCCTTCCGGATTTTCTGCCGGTCTTAATTTTGCTTCCGTCTGAGCAAATACACTTGGCAAAATTAGGTCTTTTTCCATCTTTACAAGGAGGGTTCTTGGATAAATTCGCGTTACTGCCATCCTTACAGGCATCTAAATAGTTCGTCTTATTGAATAGTTTGTCATCTAAGCAATAATTTTGTCAAGTGATTGAAAAAAGTTTTAAAATATGATAACAAATGCATATAATAAAGTAAAATACTGGGTAAAATATGTTTTTTTTAAAATTCTCATTAGAATTTTAAAATTAAAAATATCCATGTTTTTAATTCTAAATTTTATATTTTGAATGTTCACAAAATTAACTCTGTATTACATAATTGGTATTAAAATCTATAACATATTGAATGTAATTAATTCAATTAAGTTGTTTTCAAAATGGATAATTATTTTTTTTTAAATGATTAAAAGAAAACTCCTATATTTGAGAAAATCAAGTGGAAAATCGCCATTCACTGCAAACTAAATGGAAGGAAAATATCGAATTCGTGCAAAATTACTTGCTCGACTTTGTGACCTCGCGTAGCTCCTTTACCATTGATCTTAAGCACAAGTATTAATAGTGAAGCAAACCTATTTGGTTACATATTAAATGTACCCAACTTTATCTATAGCTCTTCTAGAAGTGGAGTTATGATTACATACACTTTTAATTAGTTTAACGTTCGAATTTTGAATAATCAAAAACGAAACAAAATCAATCTTCTTTTCGTCGATTAACAAAAACAATTAACATCCCTAATTACAACTGTGAATCGTTAAGTCAGTTAATGATAGAATGCTTACTTGGACACTCTGGGTATTCTCCATTTGAACAAAATTTCCGTTTCTTTCCTCCTTTCTTCCCTCCTTTCTTTCCTCCATTACCACTTCCGGTCGGATTTTGAGTTGATATTGCACTCAAATCAATGACTTCAGTCTGATTTTGACCACCCACTATTGTTCGACATTGGACATCGGTTTAGTTGATATTTTAGGCTAGTTGATTAAAATGAAATATTGATAATAATGAACTATTTCTAAAAAGCGGCCTGAGCTGAAAACTTTAGAATTGTGGATATCGAGATCAACAATATGCTTGATCTCCTCTTTTATTTTTCTGTAGATTAATTCAATCTTAAGTTATTATCCGGAAAATGTCTACTGCAATGCAACCAATCAAAGTGTCGATTGGCGCGCAATCAATAATGTCGACAGTGGATAGTTGGATAAAAAGATTTAATCAATTGGGATTAGGTGTATCAGATACAAGAGTTTCCAGCTTTGACCAAACTTTTATAAATATATTATTTTAATTGTGACAATTGAAAATTACAAAATCCGTTATATTTTCCTACTAAGCATGTAGAATAGAATCATATAGGTTTAATGCTTTCATAATACAAAACATCTGTCATTCATGAATCATGATTCATCTGACAAAAAAAAGTATTAACAATTATAAAAGTACTATAAGCACTATTAACAATTATAAAAGTACAGGGTGAGTAAAAAAAGGGTGAATAGCAAGATCTTGCATACAATACATCATTTTTCAATTTTTAAAAAAAAAATCTGATAGACCATTTAAAAAATCCGCGAAACTATTTTTTAGTCAAAATTAGATGATTAGAAAAAAATCCGGGATATATATATTATTTCTATTACATTACATCTTAAACAGATCAGATGAACAGTTTCTAAGAAAATTCGCTAAATCCAATTCAGAAAATTCGCAATTTTATTTTTGAAAAAATTAAGGCAGAACTTTGCTTCTAATTATTATTTCAACACAAAAATTGCGGATTTCTTATTTTAATTTCGCGCATTTTCTTGGAAACTACTCATCAGAGCTGAAAACTTTAGAATGGGATATCCTTAAACCCGATCTGTTGACTTATCTGGAGATTAAATTCATGAGGAAAACAAGCCATATTTAATCTGGAGATTAAGAAAAAGAGAGGATTAAGCATTAATCCTGATATCCACCATTCTAAAGTTTTCAGCTGATATGCTGAAAATTTTAAGGTGTGATAGAAATAATAAATTCCCTTACTTTTGTTTTTCTACACGACATCTATTTTGAGTAAAATATAGTTTCGCAGATTTCTTTAAAGGGTCTATAAGATTGCTTTTCAAAAAAAAATATTCAAGAATTTCAAGCATTTTGTCAAGAATGAGATCATCAAAAAATTGCTTTTTTATAGACAAAATTTCGCTATTTACCCTTTTTTTTGCTCAGCCTGTACTATCAGAGCTATAGACCGGTTTGAAAATCCTAAAACAGGTAAAAAGAAATATCTTAAAGCGGGGTGTTAAGTTTCTGAATTGTCCCTTGGGAGAATACGGGAGGGGGGGTACAGAGACCGCAATCGTAATCTTAAGTGACCCTCCAAGCACCGATGGCAATGCCCGATTCACAAGTGTGCCCTTGAATACCTGATCAAATATGTCAAAGATTTTGTACTTTTTTCTTTTCCAAATGTGTTTCACAATGCTAAAATCGATTATTTCGTTTTCATTATTATATTGAATTGAATTTTCTTTGAATTTATTCGCAGATTTCTTCAAATTCTTTAAATGTCGTCTTTTCAATAATGATTATAGAAAATCTGCGAATATCTTAGTGAATTATAAGAAACCAGAATAATGAGAAAATAGAAACTAATAAGATTAATTTTTATTTTCTCAAAATGTTCCTAAACATTACGTCTGTAGTTTATTGTAGAATATTTTTACATTTAATGTCGTCGTTAATTAATAATTAAAAAAAAACTGATTCTGAAAGCGTATCCACCCCCAAAGTAGGAGTGTTGAACGTCGGCTTTGCACTCTGCACTCAAACTCAGGATTTACAGATCTTTAAAAAGTGTAATATGTCTCAAATGAATCCGAAAGAAGTTATCGACAACACTGCGTACTCAGTTCAACTACCTTACATAGCCGGTCACTCCCTTTAATCTGATCAAAAATGTTGAAAATGCCGTCGTCTTTCTGTCCTGAAAAGTGTTTAAATCTGTGAGTTTCTCCAATGCTTCTTAATAACAAGAAATGCGCAGAGCACAAGTTGATTTAGCAGAGAACCCGGAAATATATTTAAACATTTTAAAGAAACAAAAACATACATATCTACATGCATACTGGATCAGAGAAAGATTTTAAGAGTACCGTTGTGAATCGGGCATTGTCATCTTTGCATGGAGGGTCACTTGAAATTACGCTTTGAGTCACTTTTAAGAAAACTTATTTAATCTTAAACCTAAGTGTGTTTTAAGATCATCTCTTGAAAAAATGAGAAGACGATCTTTAAGTGTTTTTTTCTACTTTTATGTTTTGCAGGCCACCCATTCCACCCTGTTCAAAAGTAGAATTTAAAATAATGTTATGAAATCAAATTAGCTATTATAGATTCAGAGGAATTATTAAACAACTGCAAAAATGTTGTTTCCAGGAAAGCTAATTATCTAATTCAATAGTGACATCCGGATATATTTAAATCATATTCAGGGTTACATCATATAACTAACAATTAATCTCACTCTGCTGTAAGGTCGTCTTTAACCAAGATGTTCTCCAGTGTTATTTAGCTATTTCAGGGGCGGGGACAGTTTAAAATTTGGTAAGTTCCAGGAAAACTGTTCATTAAAGCTAACTGTTTAACACAGGGAACAGTTCATTATTTGTATTGTTCAACATATAGCTAGTTCAGAAGGGAACAGTTTATTATGGGACTTGTTAAACATATAGCTAGTACAGGAGGGAACAGTTTATTATGGTGATTGTTCAACATATAGCTAGTTCAGGAGGGAACAGTTTATTATGAGGATTGTTCAACATATAGCTAGTTCAGGAGGGAACAGTTTATTATGAGGATTGTTCAACATATAGCTAGTTCAGGAGGGAACAGTTTATTATGAGGATTGTTCAACATATAGCTAGTTCAGGAGGGAACAGTTTATTATGAGGATTGTTCAACATATAGCTAGTTCAGGAGGGAACAGTTTATTATGAGGATTGTTCAACATATAGCTAGTTCAGGAGGGAACAGTTTATTATGAGGATTGTTCAACATATAGCTAGTTCAGGAGGGAACAGTTTATTATGAGGATTGTTCAACATATAGCTAGTTCAGGAGGGAACAGTTTATTATGAGGATTGTTCAACATATAGCTAGTTCAGGAGGGAACAGTTTATTATGAGGATTGTTCAACATATAGCTAGTTCAGGAGGGAACAGTTTATTATGAGGATTGTTCAACATATAGCTAGTTCAGGAGGGAACAGTTTATTATGAGGATTGTTCAACATATAGCTAGTTCAGGAGGGAACAGTTTATTATGAGGATTGTTCAACATATAGCTAGTTCAGGAGGGAACAGTTTATTATGAGGATTGTTCAACATATAGCTAGTTCAGGAGGGAACAGTTTATTATGAGGATTGTTCAACATATAGCTAGTTCAGGAGGGAACAGTTTATTATGAGGATTGTTCAACATATAGCTAGTTCAGGAGGGAACAGTTTATTATGAGGATTGTTCAACATATAGCTAGTTCAGGAGGGAACAGTTTATTATGAGGATTGTTCAACATATAGCTAGTTCAGGAGGGAACAGTTTATTATGAGGATTGTTCAACATATAGCTAGTTCAGGAGGGAACAGTTTATTATGAGGATTGTTCAACATATAGCTAGTTCAGGAGGGAACAGTTTATTATGAGGATTGTTCAACATATAGCTAGTTCAGGAGGGAACAGTTTATTATGAGGATTGTTCAACATATAGCTAGTTCAGGAGGGAACAGTTTATTATGAGGATTGTTCAACATATAGCTAGTTCAGGAGGGAACAGTTTATTATGAGGATTGTTCAACATATAGCTAGTTCAGGAGGGAACAGTTTATTATGAGGATTGTTCAACATATAGCTAGTTCAGGAGGGAACAGTTTATTATGAGGATTNAAGGGTAAGGGATCCAATAAACCTCTACAGTGGAAAACTATCTTGATGCCGAAGTAAACAAAGTATTATAAATCCATTAAAGAAAAGATGGAAAAGAATTGAGAGCAAATAACAACCAGCAAAATACTTTATTTTCTCGATTCACTCAATAAAAATAAAAATAAAAATAATGATAACAATAATAATAATGATAACTGAAATGAAAGAAAGGCCACCAAGGTTAACTTTGAAATAAGATTAATAAAAAGAGAAAAAGGAAAAAAATGTCGCCAGTTTTATTTTCAATAAAATAACTTGGAAAATATTACTTGCTCAAGTAATGTTTAATGTATAAGTTCTCTTTCAATTTGTTACTTGGATAGATCAGGGAACAGGAATATGGGATAGATAGATAGATAGATAGATAGGTAGAGAGATATATAGATAGAAATCAAGTGTGTGGTGGGGACATAGAGTAATAAAACGAAGAGGTGATAGATAGATGGATACTAAAGACATTTAATTTAATTTAAGTTTGTAAGTAGTGATATTTCATTACTATTCTTTAAAAGTATGAAATGAATGAATTTGCAACAGTTCTCAAATTCATTCATTTTCTAAAAATTTGACTTTTATATATGTATGTTTGCAATGATAAAAGTAAATTGCACGTATAAGATTGAAGTCTTATATTTTTTCAATCATATCTTGAAGATTTATTGAAATGGATAAATTTAGATTTTCTCCTAATATTGCGTAAAATCAAATCTAGAAGAGATACGAGGTCA